CCCCAAAACCCCAAAACCCCAAAACCCCAAAACCCCAAAACCCCTTTTCAAATAAATAATACTGATAAATTTCAAGTTGATTTATTGTTATAAAGATGCTTCCTAACTAAGAGGTTCATTAAGGAGGAAACAATTGTATTATCAATTAACTACAAAAATTAACCAAGAGAAGACTGCCTGAAAGCATGAAATTAGAGATAGATAATAGCTCATTTTACTCATTTAATAGTTTTTTAACTATCTTCTGGTACCTCAGGTTAAAGATTTCCATCTTCTCTCTTGTAGATTCGGTTATGTTCTTCACTCATTGTTCTGGAGATTTAGAGAGATATGGTTCAAACTCTTCAAGGACTATAGATGAGATTAGTAAGACTACTAGTGAATCTTAAAAATAAAAATGTTCTTTCTTTATTAGAAGAAATTAGAATTTTGATTGATTGAAGATTTTCGGAATAGATTTCTCTATCAATCATTAATTGCTAAATGAAATATTACTATAAAAACTAATTCTACATTTAAAACAGGCTTAATCCTTATCTAAACCTCTAAAATGCAATATTTCCTACATCTAAGCTCTTTCTGTTCTACTTGATCAAGAGAGATCCCTTCGAACCAAGGATGGGCGACAATTTCTTCAGCCCCATTCTTATATCCTAGCCTTCTGGCTGGGTCCTTATCAAGTAATTTGTAGAGAAGATCTCTTCATTTGGTACTCAAGTCATCAGGAATTGAGAGCTTCTTACTCACAATGTTCTTCTGAATAGCTCCAGAGCTTTTGCTAAAATAAGGTGGGAGTCCAGTTAGCATCTCAAAGAGTAAAACTCCTACTAGATACCAGTCAATATCCTTTCCGTAGGATTTGCGCTGGATTATTTCTGGTGGCATGTATGCATATGACCCACAGAATGATCTAGTCTTTTTAGAGAAATTATGAAAGCCGGATTTGGACAAATTAAAATCTATCAACTTGACATGTCCTTCCTCATCAAGCATAACGTTGTTAGGCTTCAGATCTCTGTAAATAATGCCTTTACGATGTAGAGCATTTAAAGCACATATTCATTCGAGGATGTAGAATCTTGCTTTCTCTTCACTAAAACACCCTTCTTCATCCAGGTAGACTGAGAGGTCTTTTCCAGAGCAAAACTCAAGGATAAGGAACAAGTGAGTCTTGCTCTCAAAGCATCTTTCCATCTTAACAATGAAGGTATGGTCAATCATTTTCAGGATCTTCTTCTCAGAAACGGTGTACTTTTTCTGACTAGAGATCTTCGACTTCTCCTTGTTGATTACTTTAAGAGCAAAGAATTTCTTGGTGACTTTTCATTTTCTAAAGATATACATCACAACTTACGCTAAATAGACAGTTCCAAACGATCCAGATCCTATTGGCTTGATGACATCAAGGTTTTTAGGTTCGATCTTTACCTCCTCTGGCTCAACCTTAATTGTTCTTCCCGTTGTAGGTCTTAGGAAAGAAATAACTCTTGAACGGTTTGTCCTAACGAGCATGGTTTCTTGCTTCTCCAAAAAGCTTGGCTCTAGTACGGATTCCTTTAAATCTTCCCTGTTGACCTTATAGTCTGTATAGTAATTTGATTTATCGTCTTGAGGATTCATTTGGCCATGCTCCTCTTCTTCATCATGGGTATCTTCCACAATACATAAGGGATTAATGTCTCAGTCGACGACCATCTGCTCTGGCTGCACTTTAGCTCGCTCCTGACTGGGAGCTTTATGCTCAACGGAGGAAAGCTCAATCTGGATTCTCCCATCAGTTTGTTTACTAACACATTTTTCTTCATCCATTCTTTGCTTGATTGGAGAATTTTCATTTATAGAGAAATAATTGCTGATATTTTTACGCTCGGTATTAACCAGGATATCTGGCCTGCTTTCAATAAAGATGTCACTAGATTATGAATTGATAGTCTTACTCCTTTTCAATGTTGATCCCAGCTGTAGGGACTGGAGATAGTTTCCCTTTGTGGTAAAAATTGTCACCTTCAGCTAAGAGTTTCCTAGTGTTCTCATTTCTGGGATCTCTAACGTTGGTTAAAGTCACAAATTTAGAATCCAATGATTCCATTTTATTAGCTTGTTTCTCTTCGTTTTGATCCTGCAAGCTGCTTTCAAGATCAATGCAGGTCTTGTTAGGGATCGTACTATGAGTCCATTTGCTATTCTCATGCTTCCTTTCAGTGAGATAGATTTTCTTCTTTGATTTTTGTTTCTAAATTAAAATTTATAAAGGACAATTTACCTTCATTCTTACAGGCTTTGGAGCGAATTTACTTGATTCAACGGATTTTCCTTTAGACCTCTTCTTCTTTTGGAAAGAGGAAGTATACCCTAGAGTTGATTTATACTTCTTGTTTGTAGACTGTATCTTTGATTCAGAGCCTTTGATAGTCCCATCAGATCTATTGGCTTGGGAATGATTAGTTTTCCTCTTCTCAGGGGTTCTACCGACCTTAAAATATTGTTGGGAAGTCAAAAATGAGCTCGTGGTTGGCTTATTTGGAGTCGGTTGCTTTCTTGTCTCACTAGGAGGTCACAAATTACTTCCAGTGCCGTATTCAGATATTTTCCGACTGTGGTTTGCTGATTTTCGAAATGAGCATCTCTCAAGAGGAGTATCTAAATCTTTGAGTTGCTTTTTCTCCTTCTGCTTAAGCCTTATAACCCTTGTAGTTTTATTTACACTAAAATTGCTTAAATGTGCATAATCTTACCTTCTTTTTGGATATATCTGGGGCATTTCTCTTTGTGGATGCTCGCTCTACATCAAAAACTGAGTTAGAGCCTAACATAAGCAAATTGTAGAAATTCTTTGAAACTTTTCTTAATTATATATTTCTAATGAATTTATTCGAAAAAACAATTTTAAGCTTAACATGTTGGTATTTGGAAAGCTTGGTTTAGAAAGATTAGTCCTACTCGTTAAGTTAGTTCATGGGCCCCGGAAGCTGTTAGATACTTCTCTCTTATGCATCGATCTAACGAATTCCTTATGTGACCCGATCATAGAGCCACTAAGTCTGTTTGTCTTTGGCTTCGATTCCTTGTATCTACTCTTAACATTTGCGTATTTTTCTAAAATACTGTTAAATAGTCGAGAGAGAAAAATTAAATGAATAAACTTACGATTTAGAGAAGTCTTTGAGTTCTTTTTAGACTTTACAAGTGGCTTACTACCCTTAGGTAGCTTAAGGTCTTGATTCAGGTTGGTCTTTTCCTCCTTTTCTCGATACCTATTAGTTCGACTAGAGCGTCAATGAATGCCAATACCTAACAGCTTTGCGGTTTTTGGTAATATCAACCTTGATAGACTTGGTTGTTCTGCTAGGAGAGTTTACTCCTTGATATTTCCGGACTATTTCACGATAACTTATGAAATCCTACCTGGCCCCTTCTGATAATTTTTTAATGAATTGCACCACTTATCGGAAAGCCTTCTTTCCTTAGAAGCTGATAATGAGTCGTTTGTTCTACTTTTGCTCAAATCTACAGAAATTCTATTGGTTAGCTTGACTTTTCCTCTTCTAGGCCCCTTCATCGAATAAAGGGAGTATGAATTATAATTCGAACTCATCGCACTCATCTTTTATCGCCTTATTTAATTATATACCAACGCTAAACTAAATATTTGGGGTTTTGGGGTTTTGGGGTTTTGGGGTTTTGGGGTTTTGGGG